TATATATATATATATATATATATATATATATATATATATATATATATATATGGGTAAAGTGAATATACCTAACAATCTTATATAAGCTTAGGTACCTAACCACATTATACTATGTAATTTTGTATCATATTTGCATTGTAATCATCCAAAGTTCTTAAAATTCAACCTCATAACTTGATTGTTTCCAAAATCTTTGGACTTTCACCATTATCTTCCTTCAAATGATGTCTTTCTATCGGAGACCCCCTGGAGGGCTTCATATATTACCGTTACAAATCAAATGGTGTAGGAGGAATATAATGGTGAATGTCTGAAAATCTTGGAAATTAATCTGTAACACCCAAAGTTTCGAAGACCAAGAAAGGAAAGAAAACCCTAAGTTTAGGGGTTGACTCGGCGAGTCTAAGGGGGACTCGGCGAGTCCGAGCGGGATCCGGGTCGGGGAGTAAGTGACCGACTCAGCGAGTCGACCAGGGGGACTCGGCGAGTCTGGTCTGTGCGTGGAAAACCCTAAATTCGGGACTTGGGGCCTATATAAATGTCTCAATCTTCTTCCCAGGGTTCCTTACTGCCTCTTTAGCCCTGGATATCAAACCCTAGCCGTCATATCTCCTAGTTGAGCCTTGGAAGGTGCTTTAAAGCTTGGAAAAGGAAGAAGGAACTTGGAGGAGCAAGAAGGAGCTATAGATCTGGGATTGTGAGTTCATTTTGAGCACTTAGAGGTAATAAACTAGTTCCTGGACCCTTTTTGCACCTAGATCTATGTGTGGTTGTTGGGGCTCTTTTGCCATAATGTTATTATTTTGGGTTAGAAGCCGGATCTGGAGTTGCTACTTCAGATTCAAGTGTTTTAGGGCCTGGAGAAGCATAAAGTATCAGTCATTGTGTTGATTTTGAAGTCCCTTGGCCTTACACCCTAGTTAATGGCGTATCTTGCCTAGATCTCCTTCTCTACACGTAAAGTTTGCAACTTTACGTAAGGAATAGACCTTAAAAGAGTGGATCTACAGTTTGGAGTCCATGCATGACTCAAAGGTCCTCTGCATGTATGTAGAACCGACTGGACTCGGCGAGTCCTTCGAGTGGACTCGGCGAGTAGCTTGAAGATGAGGAGGAACTCGACGAGTAGGATGAACAACTCGTCGAGTCGGATGAAGTTAGGCATGGACTCGGCGAGTTGGATGAGCAACTCGGCGAGTTGGTTGAAGATTGTCTAGAACTCGGCGAGTCATGGACTGACTCGGCGAGTCGGGTCGCGAATAAGAAAGACCCTGAGTTTATGAACTCGGCGAGTCTTTAGGAAGACTCGGCGAGTAGGATTGACCTGGAAGGTTGACTTTGACCAGAGTTGACTTAGTTGTCTGTCAGACTAAGTGTTATATGTATATTGATAGCTCGGAAAGCTGGAGGAGCAGCGGATCAGGGGATTGTCGAGTAGCAGCCAAAGATTTATCAGTAGGGTTCAGCAGCTACTTTGAGGTGAGTTACCTTCCAGTAGTGGTGGGCCTAAGGCCACAATGCCGGCCCACCAGTAGGGGAAGTATGATAGATGATTGTCTTTGTGATATCATCTAGGTTTGCTATTACCTGTTATGTTATATGCTCTCATGATACATTATATGCAATAGTAGTGGAGTTCGGTTGTTAGGACCGCAGGGTAGTCAGACACCCCAGAAACATCTGACCGTATGTGATGGTATGCTTGTATGTTGGCATGTTATGTTATGCGATAGAGGTAGCGGGTGGGGACCAGTCCCCGAGGATCGGTTGTTAGGACCGATGGGTAGTCAGCACCCCAGAATGGCTTGACATGGGTAGTCAGCACCCCAGAATGGCTTGACATGGGTAGTCAGCACCCCAGAATGGCTTGACACGGGTAGGACGGCACCCCAGAATGGCCGTATGGGTAGGTCGGCACCCCAGAATGGCCGTACCGGGTAGTCAGGCACCCCAGAATAGCCTGGCAGTATTTGTGTTATGTGTTTGCATGGTATGTGGTACGTTGGGGGAGCTCACTAAGCTTTGTGCTTACGGTTTCAGTTTTTGGTTTCAGGTACCTCCTCAGCTAGGGGAAAGGAGCCGGCATGGTAGCAGCATGTCACACACACACTCTTCGGTTTCCGCATTTACGAGATTCACTGGGATTATACTCTGATATTTGATGGATTGTATGGTTTGAATATTAAAACGTGGTTTGCGATGTGTTATGGCGTGATCAAACAATGCTTTTATTTATTAATGTTTTCTAAAAGTAATATTTTAAAATGAAATTTTTGGACATGAAAATTGGGTCGTTACATAATCAAGCTAAGGGTTGAAGTTTAAGAACCTTAGACGATTGCAATGGAAATATAATGCAAAACAATGTAGTATAATGTGGTTAGGTACCTAAGCTTATATAAGGTTGTTAGGTATATTCACTTTACCCTCTATATATATATATATATATATATATATATATATATATATATATATATATATATATATATATATATATATATATATAATTAATTAATTAAAAATCATATTTGAATTCAAATTGAACCATACGAAATGTCGTCGGCTTAAGCGATAATGGGATACCATTAAAGAGGATTTATTCGGCTAATATGGTGGTTTCAAGTAGCCCATACTATCCCCAACATATGTCATGCTTCTTTTATTGCGCTTATCCCGAAGGTGAATGATCCAAAATTTATTGTTGATTTCCGACCAATTAGTTTAATTGGTTGTCAATATAAATTATTGGTAAAAATCTCGCCAACCAGTCTCTATTTGGTTATCGGGTCTATTGTCAGCATTGAACAATAAGCGTTTTTAAGAATCGTAAAATCCTGGATGGTCCAATGATGTTGAATGAGATTATCGGGTATTGCAAGTCGGTATTAAAGAAGTTGATGATTTTTATGGTTGACTTAAAAGAAGGTTTATGGTTCTTTATAAGAATGGGGATATATTGGATGCTATAAAGAAAATGGGGTTCTCTCCTTGTTTGAGCGATTGGATTATGGCTACTCTTTCTTCTTCTAGAGCCTCTATTATCATGAATGGTGCTCCTACTCAAGAGTTTCACGTGGAGGTGATCCGCTTTCGACCTTTTTATTTGTTCTTACAATGGAGAGTTACTGGATGCTAGTTCGGCCGGTGCTTTTGGCAGAATTGATAATAGGCCCGGAGTTAGAAGTTTCTCATTTTCTATATGAAGATGATGTTATATTATTATATTGTTGGGTGTTGGAAAATGCTATAAGAATTCTTTGTGTCCTTAAGATTTTTCAGATGGCTTCGGTTTTCTATATGAAGATGATGTTATATTATTATATTGTTAGGGGGTTCATAAATCACAAGGTGGTAGATTTTATTGGTTGTAACGCGGTCAAATTGCCATTTATGTATTTGTGATGCCGATTGGAAAAAATATGAATCGTCTAAATACTTTGAAATCGGTGTCAGCTTGGAAATCGAGATTACTATTGGTGGGAGGTCGTATGACTCTTATCAAGGCTATACTAGGAAGCCTTGGTATTTATTATTTGTCTAATTTTAGAGCTCTCGTTGTGGTTTTGAAGAATATCGAGTCTATCAGAGCACGTTTTTCTGGGGTGTTGATATTGGGGAACGCTAGATTTATTGGATTGCTTGGAGACGGGTTATGGCTAGTAAAGAAAACGAGAACCTTGGTACCGGATGTCTTGTCTCTTAAAAAGAAAAGCTATTTTGTTTAAATGGTATTGGAGATTTTTTGAGCAACAAGAAGCTTTATGGGTTCGAGTCATTAAAGTTGTGCATGGTTGGGGATAGAGTTCCTTCTCGTTATAGTGGGCAAAGTATATGGTCGAATGTCCTGTGTGTTCGATTGATCATTTGGTGTCTAAAGGGACTGACCTATTTGTGAAAGATTAAGGTTGGGATCAGAGATAATACTAGTTTCTAATGGATTCTTAGCTAGGTGAAGGTTTGTTAAAAAACAATTTTGATCGGGTTTTTCCTCTAAACAACTTTCGGAATGCTTTGGTGGTTAACATAAATCATGAGGAAACGCTTCTTTGGACTTGTAGAAGGGTGCGAGAGGAGTAACATATCCTCAATGGGATGTTTTACTTTTTTTTAACGGCGGGGTTAGTGCTTAGAAGTAAAACATCCCATTGAGAAGAAATCTCTACCATGTGCTAGTCCTACATTGGCGAAGGCTCTACTTATTAAGCCACAGAGATTATTCCTTTTATTTTGCTAGAGATAGGTATCTATGAGCCGGAGACATCGGGTGAATCATCTTTCGGATTTGAATTTTCTTATATTTGCTAGTCCCCAACGAGATGGAATTGTTTAGTTCCAACTAAACTAAACATTCCATCAAGACACATTCAAAGTGACAAAAATCCTAAAAGGTTGAATTTAAGAGACAAATTCATTGACTTGGATTCTGTATGATGCCATGTTTGTAATTCTATTGGGGAGTCTTCCTTCATTTGTTTATTACTTGCATGAATATATCCCCTTTATGGCATGTGATTGGTGTTTGGTGGAGACTCTCATTACTATCTACTTCCACATTTTCTAATTTCATTTTGTGGGTTGATTCTTCTTGTATGTCAATTCTTAAAATGAGGTACTTGCGGTGGTTATTGTCACATTTTGGTCTTTTTGGAATTTCAAGAACTATCTAATTTTTGGAACGGAGAAGCCTATGAGAGATTCACTTTTTGATGATATAGTGTGCCTTTTTGTTTTTAAATTTGCAATAGGCATAAGAGTTATAAAATGTTTTGGGATCGATGGTTGTGTAAACCCCAGTTAGCTACTTTGTAGTTTTTTCTTCTCTAGTGTCTCGCTAGAGTTTTTACATATTTTTGTCGTTCTAAAAAAATAAATACTATGAACAAGAGTCTAAAAAAACAAATACTATGAATAAGAGTTTGAGTATTCTCAAATAAAACATCTTAATCATCATATGAATCTAACCATGAAAACTTATAAACGTCATGTTTGGTAACTTATCATCATGCTTTGACATTGATGGCCAGCTTCTGGTTGTAGAAAGCACAATGGTTCCCTACACCACAAATAAACCAACTATCGCCTGGGGCCATTAGGGATACGATGTCATGTCCAGAGGTGTGAGCTTTGCTTGGGGGCGGAATAATGCAGTTTGCATACGAACTACCATTAACTATGAAGACATTATGTATGCCTTTCGGATAATTAAACACTGTAATATCAAGTAAAATCATATGTTGCATTAAAAATAATTCAAGATCAAAAAACTATAGTTAAAAATGTTTTATACCTAGCTTGTCACCAACTTTAAAATCTTTATTGCTAGCCCATGTTTGGTAATTTAAACCGATGGTCCAACCACTGTCGTCTCCCACTACATACTCTGTTGCTATGACGCTGGTCGGAAGTAGCGCAGCGTTCAAAATGGCTAAAATTATGAAGATACGACTAACGATGGCCATTTATGTGATTAGAATTATATTAAAACACGATGATGTAATAGAAATGTTTTTCATCCATTTTTGAAGCTCCTAAAATGCCTATATATACAATTTCATTTTTTCTTGATAACACCAAAAAGTAACACAAAGAAAATACAAATATAAGCTAGGCACCAGCTAGTTTTGACAAGAACAAGGGTTGTATTTAGGCAACACGTTAATTTGTTGCATTTTGTTTAGCTTCATTCAAAATTAAATACGCCAACTTGACAAATACGAGTATTTTGCTAATAGTTTTGACAAATTTTTGTAGTTTTATCCAAGATGTTTTCTTTAGAAGAAATCTACACATCATTGTGTGTATCGTACAAGTATTAATTCATATACTTATAAGCTATAACAAGTTAATAGTCAAACTGCATAAAAATATAAATGAATTTTTTTGAAAAACTACAAAGAATTATTGAAGCAATCCTATTTCGTTCATTTTGTTTGTCCCATTTGAAAATCCAGTCCATCGATTTGAGATCCCCAATATCATGTCGTCCTCAACGTCCCAAAAGAGCAATAATAATGAAATCAAAGATAAATGCAACACTTCTCGTAGATATAACCATCAGGACCATTCTAAACATATTTTAGGTCCGAAACAACAAGAAAAAAAAGTCTTTAAAACACACAAATTTCATCAACTTTTTTATAATAACTTACTAATTTAAACAAAATTACTTGTAATAGCTTCTAAATATAACATTTTCCATTACAAAAATCCACATATTTAAAGAAAAATGCTTCTTTTAGCAGATTGCTTGGGAGTAGTAAAAACGCCTTCAATAAAATTGTTGTATCACAAAGTAACAAAGATCGGGGTGCAATCAAAAATAAATAAATGCTTTACCCTTGCAATCAATGAGCAACTTCCAAACAAACAAAGATTGAAAGAAATTCGAAATTACCTGAATGAAATCAGACTTATAGTCTGTGATTTGTGAATATAGAGTTGTGATTTCATGAAGCAATAAGTGAAGGTGAAGCGTGCTTGAAGCATATTAGAAGAAAAATAAAAAAATGGAGTGCTCTAGCATGTGACATCTATTGATGGTGAACCGTGAATTGGAGAGTTTGCTTACTTTCTTGATCGAATGAAACGGAAATCATTGATGCATTCTGATTTAATAGGAATGAACGACTCAATAAGCAACCGGGAAAATAGCCTCACATCCCTCTCACAAGTCGCATTGTCATTTCAGTTGTAATCAATATCATCTAGGATTGAAATTCATCAATTGTCTCCTGCTTCCACATTTTTTGGGCTAATTTGTACAATTGAACTGCTAATATGGAGTGGACGAATGGGCTCAATAGATTAATTTTTTTTTATACATATATGATCTTTAAAAAAGTTTTATAAAGTCCATAAAAAATTTGGACAACTTTAAAAGATAGACTATGGACAGTCACCCTATCGTCCACCCTCTAGAACGAACATGGTAAGAGTTGTTAGGAATCGAAAATTACAATTAGTATTAGTTAGAGTAAGGATAACCCAAGTTAAAATTAAGTTTAGGGTAGGGATAATTCATTAAAGTTATGTTTGGGACTGCTCTAATTGGATGGTACGTAATCTCTAATTCTTTTTTTTTTTTTTTTTTTTTTTCTCTTTGATAAATTTCTTTTGGAATAAGCAAGTTGTAAATAAGAAATGCAAGTCTATTCATTGGATTTGTTAAATTAGTTGTTATGTTTGGTTGTTATATATTTATCTATAGAGTAAATTACATGAATTATCCCTATGGTTTGGAGTAATTTGCGCGATTGATTCCTAACTTATTTTTTTAATTCGGAAGGTAGCTATTGTTTATTTTTGTTACGTGCTTGGTCCGTGCTATTTGTTTTTGTTACGCACTTGGTCCCTGTCTTACCTAAAAAGACTATTATTTAAATAGGGAAAAATTGTAGGGTAGGTAAGGTAAGGTGAGAGGGATGAGGTTGGAGGTGTGTTTATTTAAATAAATTAAAAAATCAAGGGAAAAATAGTCTTTATAGGTAAGACATGGATCAAACACGTAAAAAAAACAAACAGTACGAACCTTCCAAGTTAAAAAAATAAGTTAGTGATGAAACACGTAAATTACCTTAAACCATAGGGATCATTCGTGTAATTTACTCTTATCTATATTATATGTAGTATAAGGTCCCTTTATAACTTATATATCTATATGTACCGATACTATACATACAACCCCAATTATATCAAGTATTTCCTAAACTCTGATCTCTAGTTATAAGTTTAATTGATTTCAAGTATTATGTTCTCTTTTTGGACAACTTCTCTTATTTCGTACTGGGTGTTTCCTTTATGTGCTAATTCAGATGTATTTTTTTTTTTTTTTTTTTAAATCATTCTTACATTTTAAATCAATTTAAAACTGACATTCAACTTTTTCAATGTGACAATGGTCGTGAGTTTGACAATCAACCTCTCCTTGATTTTTTTTTTCAAAAATAATGGTACGAAAATTTGGTTCTCTATATCATCTCTACCATAAATAACATTCTTCACACTATGCTTATTCAAGAATCTTTGTCTACTAAATTATAGGTTGAATCCCTTTACTTTGTTTTTTACACCTTTAACCTTCTTCCTATCACCACTCCTTAGTATTGCAGAACATTTGAAATCCTTTTTGGATTTTCTCCTTTTTATACTCGTTTACGTGTTTTTGAATGTCGCCGTTATCCTAACGTTGTCTCCACTTCTGTTCATAAAATTTCTTTGCGTTCATCAACATGCATCTACCTTGGTCCATCTCTCTGTATCGTGGTTACAAACGTCTCGATCTTATAACACAAAAGATCATCATTATCTACCACCATGTCATCTTCAATGAAACACATTTTCCTTACACTTATTTTCATGCCTCCCTTACTTTTGTTGCGTGACTCATTCATACCTGATGACACTCCATCCCCTTTTCTTAGTACTCCTTATAACCTACACTTTACCGCTCATTTTCCCTTGAGCACATCTTCATCCCCCTTTTCCTCCTGCCAACACAAATACTTTGTTAAGTCATCCTCAAATGTCCTTATCCCTCCTATCACAATGCATCTTATGGTCTCCAGATCTTGCACTGACTCTTTAAAGCTGTCACACCCCCGGACCAGGCGGTGGAAACGTCCGAAAGCGGGTGACTTCATTGTACAATATCATAACAATTGAATATAAATGAAACAGAGCAATCCAAACATCATACATTGAGATAACAAACTTACATGGTTTACTTATTGTATTTGATCTACCAGTTACATAAAAGGTACATAAATGGAAAAGAATCCAAACTACAACTAAATAGTCTAGCATCTGCGTCCCTTGTTACTTGCTTACTAGATCCCTAAGAATACAAGTCGTTTGAAAAGCACCAACTAAAAAGTTAGTGAGTTCATAAGCATTTTTATATAAAATCGTTTACACTTGTTAGAATAGTTCTCATTGTACTTTCAGAAAATCCGATATTTTCTATGAAATCGTTTGAAGTCTTGCCTTGAAAATCATGGATATATGTGTGTATGTCATCACTTTCATTCATCCTTATAAGGAGTGATTTTGAAAAGTAGTGTGATTTGTAAAAGCGAGTTGTGTACGAGAATAATTCTTTTGAACGGTAATAGTCAATCGTTTCAATAAAAATCCTTTATTTTCAAAAGGAAAAATATGGTTGAAAATCTTTTTCCTCTTATCGAGAAAAATCGAGTGGGCGTTCTAGTTTATCGTTATTGAAATCGTCGAAAAATTGTATTCTCCAGAAAATCCTGTATTTTCTGTTATAAAGTATTCGGAATTCAAGTTCCAACTATGTATATCTGTAGGTTAATTTATCATTTTCAAAATCGTTTACAAACGTTTCCCATAGAGTCCTACGCTTTTTAATTTGTAAAATAGCAGTATTTCGACTCTATACTTGTTAGGAGAAAAAGTCACCATGGCAATTGTGGACATTCTACGCGATGAAAAAGGATAGTCAACACAACAAATGCGGACCATCACCTATCTCATGCAGGGCAGACAACACAACAAATGCGGATTGTCACCTATCTCATGTAGGACAGTCAACACAACGTGCGAAAAGTTATTTATGAGGTTTTCCTTGCATAAATTTATAGTTAATAAAACATATTCTAGTGAGTCGTTATAACCATACTAATCATGACTGGTCTGTCTAGCTGTAGCAAACAACGAAGGTGTGGGGTGTCAACCCCGTATAGATCTATACACAAATTCCCGCTCTCCCTCCAGGAGACTCTAGCTATAACTCCTTACAGGACTTAGACGTACACTAATATTTTCATATTTAGGTACTTTTTGAGATTTGTCCAACTAGAATATTAACAACCTTTTGAGCAACCATTAGAGTTCCATTAGTCGTTAGATAAATAATTAAACTCGTACTCATTGAATAGAAATATCATTCTCGTTCCATATCGTTGATTGTGCTGGTTAACTGGGTGCTCATGTTCGTTCCTTTTCGTTTATTGAAAAATGAGTCATTTTAGTCAAGAGAAAAAGTGTCAAGTTATAATTTATAAGAAAAATTAGAACAACCGGTTATGACACTCATGTTCTGTTTATGACATATAGAACATTACTTATGTTCTTGGAGGTTTTATGACAGCAGCTTATAAAATGCAAATATTTCTATCACAAAGGCTCTTTTTGTATATTTTCTTGATGCAAACTTTTATATTGAATAATTATAAAATACTCCCTGACAGTTTGCAAATAGTCACAAAGTTTCCATTTTCGAAAATTACTAGAAATGGTGTCCATTTATCAAAGTCTCTCTTTATAACTTCTATCTTTAGGCATGAAAGCATAGATAAAGGGGTTAAGTTTGACACATCCAATAGTTGAGAGGCTCTTTTGTACAAAGTATTCTCTGTTTTTTATGAAGTTGTGAAATCTTACGTTCATGAGTATATTACTAAAATATTAATTTAATAATATTTCACACACACATACAAATATACGTATATATGCCTTTCATTTAAGAATTTAGGCAATATTTGACTTGTACTCTCCCCCAAAAACATTAAAATATTGAAAAGGTGGGGTATGAAGCTCACCTTGAGTTAGTTGAGGAGTTGTTTGGAGTTATGGAGTGAAGATCTCAAGCTTTAACTCTTAGCTGAGATGAGGAACTTTTCTGGGGGAAATGTTTTCCTTTAAGGTGATTATCACATATTATTATGAATAAAATAATATGGATTCATCTTAATATTATAAAATATTAGATGAGTGGAGAACTTACTTTAGAATTTCCAGGAAGAATTTTGAGAATTTTGCATCCAGCAAGATTCTTAACTTTGTTCTTGGGAGGAGTATTTGAGAGAAAATGAGAGGGGTGAGAGGAAATGGAAAAGTCCATATTTCCTTATATTGTCGTTGCTTTGGAGTATAAGAAAAAGAATGGAAACTTTGGTGCATGGAGATGTGGTGGTCCATGCATGGATATTTGGTGGGTAAAGCATGAGATACTGTGATTTGCATGGGAAATGAGAAATTTCATCACATCACAAAGTCAATCCCTTTGTCCTTTTCTTGATTTAGGATAAGGTTTTCCTAAATCTCAAACATTTATTTTTATGAAAAATATGCTTAAAATAATTCATTTTGGCATAAAGTAGGGGTTTTAGGGGTCTCAATTAAGAAAAACACGAGTTTGGTGTGATTCCTGACCTCAAAATACCTTAAAATGGTGAAAAAGCCCGAAAATGACCAAAATCCGGAGCTAAAAGGTGAATTCTGGAGTCATTATGCGAATTCTGAAGCTGTAGTTCAATTTCCGGAGTGGAGCTTCCTACTTGCGAGGGTCCGAAGTGAGTACAAGAGGGGTTCCAGAGGTACTAGGCGAGTTCCGAAGTCACTCCTCACTTCCGGAGTCAGGTGCGAGATCAGGTAAGTCCGAACCAAGGATGCGAGGCGGCTAGATTTCCGAAGCAGATCCAAAGGTTTTGATCATGGTGCTTCTGGAGTGAAGCCTTCCGGAA